TCAAAAACATTGAACTAAAATAAAATTAAATTAGGTTATATAAAAATTTTGTTATTTTTATTTGATAATAACAAAATTTATTTTTCATTTTATTAAAGTTAGGTAAAAAATTCGAATGTATGAAAGCAAAAGAGTTTATATTTAAATGAAATATAAAAATATTTAAAAAAAAAACAACTTTAAAAATGAATTCAGTGGTTCTTATAATTCTAAATCGTGGTCGTTCACATCCGTTGCTTTTAGTTCGCAGACTATGGTATACATATGTACATTAGGTTCACTTCACGAGACAAAAATAAAAATAATAAGTCAGTTAAATTTTAATAAATAATAAATTTCGAGGTTATATTATTGATTTGATATAAAAATGCGTAATTTTTTTTTTGAAAACGTTTATGTTAAAATTAATATAATTTGTTAAAAAACTTGCTAAAAATTAAACAATACTTGTATTCTATTTACGCATTCAAACTACAGTGTAGCATATACACATGTATGTGTAGTTTGTAAAAGTAACGGTCTTTTTTGGGAAAAAAGACATTTCAAATATTAAAATTAGATGCAAAGTAACTCCGAAAATATAAGATTCTTCTGTTATAGCTTAGAAATACTATTTTAACTAAAGAGCAAATAATATAAAACATTTATTCACCCTTCCTCCCGAATAAATTTCAACCTATCATATACGACGACTTATTCTCATATATCAACAATGACGTTTAGGAGACTTACTCCCGAGGTAGTAAGAATTCTGTAGTTGTACACAGAAAAACAAGTTTGGTTATTCATGCATCAATTGTTATTTTGATATTAACTCCCATTTACTCACATTTACATAAACAGATTTCATATTATACATATGTACGTATAAATTAATATATGTATGTTTGAAATTTTATTTAAGGAGTTCAGTAAAAATTTTTCCAGCAGTTCAAATAACGCTTAATGCGTATTAAGCGTATCAGTATACTGGCAGGCCACATTTTATTCTATGTTTACCATAAATTATTGTTTAGTGAATAAGAAATTTATGTATTATTTTAATATATCTAATATGTGTAAGAATTTGAAGTTTTGGAACTTCGTCAAACTAAATAAACAAAATTTTGAATTTTAATTTCTTTAATTACTAATCCGTCTGAATACGATACGAACCTGAAGAAAATGGTATTTCAAGATTTAAATTAATTTGTTTATTGGTAAAAAAGGAAAAAAAAAAACAAAAAACATATTTGACACAACGAAAACAAAAATTATTTGAATTTAAAAGTAAACAAATAATAACGGTAAATGAAAAAGAAATGTTTTTATTCAAGGAATCTCTTTAAACAAAAGAATATTTTTGAAATGAAGAGATATTATTTTCTAAATGATAGAAAAATTTTGAGGGATGCTTTTTCGAGATGGATGAAATAATATAAAGTTCTCAATATACATATGTATGTATGTTCATTCTTATAACGTAAATACATCGTAAAAAAATAATTACACATTATGCAAAAGAATTACTTTTCAGGTTTAAAAAAAACTTTAGATTAAACAAACCAACTTTTCAATATGTACTCTTTATATGTTACTAAGTCTACAAATTTCTTATTTTATGATTGCTTGGTTGATTGATTTTGGTGTTTTGCTTACAAAATTAAAAAATCTGATGTGATCAGCACATAACCGACCGCACTGTGTATTGTCTAGTTAAGTGAAAGTATTACAGAATATTATAAAAATGTCTGTTAAATACTTCTTTCCAATTTTTAGGGCATTAGTACGCTTATAGTTAACATACCTAAAAAAATGTAAATTTGGCTCTTAGTAGAGTTTCGCTTTATGCTACCCGAATTCCCTGAAATGCTCGTTAGTTAGTTTCGGTAACAACCAGAACTCTAATATCAAATTTCAAGAAATTCCATGAATTCGTTCCGTAGATACGGTAAAAAATGTAAAATCGGCCCGCAGATCAGTTTTCGAGCCCTGATCTTTCCAAAAAATTTATATTGTCATCGTAGTAAACGCCCAGTTGCTGATGCCTGATTTCTTCCAAAAGTTAGAAATTTTCGCGTACGGTCGAGCAAAGCTTATACATATATGATATTTTAAGTAAATCAGTTGAATATTTTCTTCAAAATGCTCAAAAATGTAAAACAGACCCGCTAAAAAGTGCCGTTCCCGAGGTCTGATATATCCCAAAAGTTTATCAATCCGTGCCATGGTGGAAATAAACTTACATATAAAATTTCATCAAAATCGGTTCAGCAGAAGGTTGCTAAAAATAGTTTTTTTACACTTCCCTACTATGGAGAAGTAGGTTCCCACCGAAAACTCGATATGCAAAATTTATTGCCATCACATAACCTGCCTATTGTTTACACAATACGGTCGGTAAAAACAACATGCTGAAAAAAGCACATTTTTATATTGAATACACGTATTTTATTACATTTTAATAATTTTTTAACTTCTTTGTATTATTTTATTTTAAAACTTAGTTATCTATAATAAAATGGCTATCTATAAGAAAATTTTTACTAGCTACGAATTATTTATGAAGAATGTGATTATTCGTAGAATTTCCCTATTAACATTTTCTAGAATGGGTCTTAGAATCAAAGTATATCTATCTAACAAATAGTTCGACTCCCCGTTTACATAACATTAATGCAATCACTCACCAATATTTAAATACAAAATATACCCTTAGCTAAAAGAGTTAAACAGCATACCTTCTTCTCATTTTTATACATGTACGAAAAAGAAAAGAAGGGAAGAAGAGGTCTGTTTTTTTCAATGTATTTTTAAAGGCGTACAAGAGCATTATTGTCGTATGAAAAGTAAAGGGAAAAATATGAAGCATTTTTAAGGCGTACAAGAGCATTATTGTCGTATGAAAATACGACAATAATGCTCTATATAAAATACTTTTAAAAATGCTCTCAAATAATATACTTTTAAAAATTATAAAAATAAATTTTAAAAGACGAGTAATATTAAAAAAAATTAAATTTGTAATTAATAATATCAAATAAACATATGTAATTAATAAAATCAATTAATATATGTTACAATAACAATATATATTATGGATTTTTATTTTTATTTCAATCTTGTCTTTATAAATTTAAAACTGATATTTCTTATGAATATAAGTACGATAATAACATTTCATAAGGAATTAATCAGTATACATACACATTTTTTTCTTTATAAATTGCTTTATTTCCATATCGTTATTTGATACTGCGTATCTATTGTACCATGCACATGCATGCCTAGATACGATATATGCAATACGACCACACATAAAATTTTAAACTCATATCTATTCCATTCGAATTTTTTTACCTAATTTTAATTAAATGAAATATAAAATATGAAAAAAAATTTTTGTTGTTATCAACATAAAAATAACCAAATTTTTACCTAACTAATTTTAATTTTCTTTCAGTTTGATGTTTTTGATACACTCGTTTGTTTACAATATTTTGTTTCTTTCTTTCTTTCTTACACAACTCTTATTCCCATGTATTTATAAAAAAAAATGGAATATTTTGTGAATTTGGCACACAAGCGAAAACTAACGGAATGGAACCAGTTAAACTACTTCTTAATAGATATACTTTGCTTTTAGCATCAAAGTTACGAAAAGTTTTAACATCAAAAGTTTATTTTGGATCTTGAAATACCATTTTTTCATTATCCAACGAATTAGCAATACTAAAGGAAAGGCCATCTCCGTTTTTATTTCGCTTACGCTTTCTCTTTCTTTGCTCCGAGTATTGTCAAACAGATATCAACATTAAATGCCAAATGTTGCAGTTTTTTTTCTTAGAAAATAAAGTAAACTTATAAAATAAAAGTAAACAAAGAAGATTTATTTATTTTGTTTACAAAATAAGTGCAGATTGTAAATAAAAAATTATAAAATATTTAATAAGAAGTCTTAAAAAAAGAATACTGTTTAATAAAAACTTATAAAAAAAATATAACAAGTGAAAAAAAGAAAAAAATCTGTTGAAAAAGAAAAAGATGTATAACTCTAAATTGTTATTCCCATTTGTAAAAACAAATAGTTTTATTACAATTTATACATGTGAATATTATTCATTTGAATAATTAAAAGTAATATTTATTTAACAGTGCTTTGATTAATTCATAATTTGCAATTTTGTTAAGTTTTTAATTTTGCAAAGAAAACATCTGTTTTTATTTTGTTTTATATTAAAATTACTTCGAATGACATAATTTTATACACACAATATTTTAATTTGGTCATTTTTTTTATATGATTACAGTTTTCCTAGAAGTAATGAAATGAAAAGAAAGTGGATTGGAATTACATATTAATAAAGAAGTTTGTATTTCAAATATTTTACTAAAATTTGTAATTTTACAATTCATAAAATAAATTTATTCAAAATAAAAAAAAATACTGAGTTAAGTTTAGCTTTAATTTTTTTTACAAATATTTAAAATGAAAAAATATTTTTTAGTTTTTATTTTAAAAAAAAAATGACTTATTCTTACAAATTACACATATTTTGTAAGAGAGACCAAATAAGAAAGTAAAATAAATACGCTCCTGTTACAGCTTTGACAATGCGCGGAGCAAAGAAAGAGATAACTACATTGTTTTTCCAAGATGCTCTTTCCTTTAGTATTTCTAATTCGTTGGTATTATTCCTCAAAAAAAAAAAAACATTACGACAGATTTTGGAAGAGGCATAATCTTATCACGTAAACATCTTTTCTTTTTGAATACTAAAGTTTGAACGGTTGTTTTAGCAAAATTGAAATTGAAGTTTTCCAATTTTGTTCCGAGTTATACTTACATACTTTTGTATGTAATTTACTTTTTCTAAAATAATACCTCTTCGATTTGCATAGAAATAAACCCATAATTAGTTGATTAATACGTATTGAAAATGGACAAAATTTGATTGATATCAACGCATATCGTTATTTTTATTGACAGTCCGCAAAATAATATTGGGTGGTGGAGTTGCATTTGGCTACATACTGAATGTAAATATTAAATTTCAGCTTAACAATGTTTGATAAGTATTTACATGTCGACATATGTATATTTATTTTCGTTATGCAATTTAAAATTTTTATAATCTATCTGTTATACAGATAATTGACAAATTGAGATTAAATGTATATATGTTATATAATTACATAAACATGAGATTATGTATGTTATCTTATATGATTATTAGATTGAACATCATGAATCAAATTGAAGAAAAAATGAACAAGTTTGCAGTTTGCAGAACTTTGATTCTCAAGTTTGACACTTATCCTCTCTTTCGTCATTACGTTCTCTAAAGCCGAGTTGAAGAGGTGACTAGGTGAAACGCGGTCGCATAAAATTATTAGTAGAGAAAATGGTTTAATTCGGTTAATTACAATAAAAAAAATATAGTTTGAAAAATAAATTAAAATTAATAAAATATATATTTCAAAAACAATTTACTTAAAAGCAAATATCAAGAAATTCGTTTGAAAGCCGTTGAAAATATTGGAAGAAGTTTTAAACATTTTGTGAGGAAAAAATTTCATTGATTTTTCACTAATACGTTCATAAATTATATAATTTCACACACATATGCACACCGGGATTTGAAAAGATATAATGTACGCAAACATATGAAGTCATGTTTCGGTAAAGTGGAATTATCGTGGTGAAAAAGAATTTTAAAAGAAAGTTAGATATAAAATGAGAGTTAATTTTTTTCCATTTTAAGGTTTTTCATGTGTTTGTGGCTTATATCTTTATTCACATGACGTAGAATGTAAATTAAAATATACAAACACATTCGTACAATAATATTCTTGTTCTGATTATTCCGCCTGCTTGTACAGAAGTACGTGATGTATATCTATATTCCAATAAAATGTCTTTATGCAAACATAAAATATTGGATTAATTTTCATTATTAGGCATTAATGTTCAAAATTTTTATATTTTACGTTCTAATCTAACTACATTATGTCAATTTATTTCCTGAATTATTTTTTTTATTAAAAATAATTTAGGAAAAGAAAGCTGCACATCATATACAATCAATAATTTGCTGAATTGAGCAAATGTAATGAATAATTAATTTGTTATTAGGGGAAATAAATTTAAAATGGAATAGTATTTGTGAAATCGTCTAAAATTGGTGTAAATAAATTGAAAAAGATATGCAGGCAAAAAAACGTCAAGTGAGTTGTTTGTAAACATGAAGATTTGTCTCTGTCTAACCCATTAGAGTTGAAATTGCTTGTCGACTTTTTTTTTATAAATAAAAATAAAATTTTAAGAGATATGGAGTGATATTATTTTTTTTTTAATCATGCAGAGATTTGTTTCATGTTTTAAAGTTAAAGTCTTAACTAAAAAATATTTAATGAATTGAACAAGAATTTTAAAAAAAAAGTAGAGCAGTAATTATAAAATTTGAATTTGGGTACCTTTTTTCTTCATAGGTACATATGTGTGTGTTTGTATGTATACATCCTATAATCACAGTGCGATGTTTAAATTGATATTGATTTTAGTTACCATTTCTATATACATATGTAGCATAAAAACCAATAAAGCAATACTTAAGAATAATATGACTCGCAATTTTTTTTCATAATTATTAATTTCAAGTTATATTAAAGTAAAAGTATTGATCTTGTAAAATTGTGCAAAAGTAGTAAAAGGTTTTTGGCGTATTTACTCTTTAATACGAAAGAAAATTTTTTAATAAAAAAACAATATTTCATTCAATGCTCAATATTAACATGCGTACATGTTCATATGTTATTCATTTTGAATGTAGGTAGGTACCTACATACATGTTTTGTAATTATGCATAAGCAGGACCTACCTACCTAATTTGTTATATAAAATAAAAATTGAAAAAGAAAAATATTCATTTTGAAATTTTAATTAAAATACCAGAATAAATAAAAGTTAAGCTTAAATAAATTTATAAATTTTACAGAAATGTAAAATTATTATTGCCAGAAAAAATAACACATACATCCAGAGAAAATACACAGAAAAAATAATACATATTCATTAATTGTGCAAAAAAAAAATTAAAAGAACTTCAAGATGTCAATAAGTGTAGAAAAATCAATGTTTTTTACTTGTATAAAATTTGTATTCTTTTATACAATAATATGGTGTATATAAAAATTCTCAACATTCAAAATTGTGAGTGGATATGTGTGTAGGTCCATATGCATATAGATACATATATATATAATATTATGTTGTAGATTGAAAAAAATATAGATTTTCCCATGTTATTTTGCTGTTAAAAGTGATGTTGTTTTGAAACTGTTGTTTCTAATAATAGAAACGTGTAGATATATTACTTTTAAATTGGATTATACGAATTCTTTACTCTGCTTCTGCTGCCGATGCTAAATAAACTACAAACTACTGCAGCTAATGATTTGTTATACATACCATTCCTGTTACAAATTTTTTTGTAAAGGATAAAAGCGAAAAAGGATATTTCAGAACAAGAAAATAATACCACATCACAGTTAATGGATATTTTGTGCTTTTTTCTAGCATATATGATATATGTAAGTATGAACCATGTTTTTTTATATAAATACTTATGTAGATAAACTTAATAAATGGAAGTACCGATGTTTGTGTATACTTAAAAATATACATATGTAAAAATATAACTTATTTAATTTTCATTAATTATTTTCTACAAAGGGCATAATACTTGTGTAATATATATGCATACATAGCTATAGAAATCTTAATAGTGAAGTATCGATTCTGCCATGCAATTAAACTTATATATTAAGTACTTTGTGCACACACCCATAAATATACATACATAAAATTAATATAGCGTAATGTTTTTCTTTTATATACTTATCTCATAAGTACTTTTCATAATTTTCAATTAAATTGCATCAAATATGGATATATAGGTAGGTAGGTAATCTGTGTACAAACACATGTTTCATAATGAAAAATATTTATTTATTCATATTGGTTTTGTAAAATATTTAAGTATACATAATGTATACCAGTGTTTCTAGATATTATTTTATATTGAATTAAAGGAAAAAACATGTGAAATTAAGCTTACTTGAATTTATTATTACTATAGAATGTATTTTTACTAGTAGCCTTAATATGCTACAATGAATGAATAAAAAATTTTAAAGAGTTTTTATTCAAATCCAAATAACTTTTAATAAAGATTATAAGTAATATTTGCTGCAAATGTATTCTTATAAATAGTAATTAAAATATGATGTACCATATCACAAGAAATTAATGTAGAAGAAATCGTATCAATTGTCTTCTGCCCATTTAAAAATTGTTGGATTCTTAACTGCTTTTTGTTTTAAAGAGGACTATTTATATATGCTTATTACATTTCATCCCGACAAGCAAGCAACCCATCCCAAATTTTTCGAACAATTTTTTGGGATAACAAAAAGGACCACTTTCTTCTTATTTAGAGAGAACCATTTCCGTTGTGATATCTGTTATTACGTTAATGGTTAGGATAATTTTAAAGGATTTATAAAGCGAATTGTACTGATTTATTGACAGTGTTGTATACAATATTGACACCAAATTTATTCGACGAATATCAATATTAAAAAGGTAAAAAGGTCGTGGTCAGATAAAAGTTTTCATAAATATAATCGATTTTCGTTCGACAGAAATTTTATTTTAAACAATTTTAGAGTATAAAAAAAGGATTTTAATTAATTAATTTAAATATCAAAACTCTATGCTGACATAACTTTGTACATAATACTGACTGTTTTCAGAAACTATTACTGACACCAGTTTTTAAAGCTAAAATACTTTGAAACTGTAATGAATTCTTAGTGTCAGAATCCGGACATTAGAAAGCAAATTCAAATTCGATATTAATAAAATAATGAAATATTTGTAAAAATACGGATTTTTGACGTATTACTATCAGTATCAAAAGCAGTGTCGAATTTTAAATGTTTATTAGGAACTGACAGAAATAATGTTTAAAAATTCTTATTTATTTAACGCTCTTATACCGAATAATTTATAAAATAAGGAAAAAAAATATTTCATTTAATGTAAATACATATATTTTTAGCCCTCACATAAAAATCAATAAAACAAAATCGGAAAAAACATTGGAATGTAACCCACTTTTTAACTTTTGAAACTGAATAAAAGAAATTATTGCGATAATTTGAATTAATCTAGAAATAAAAAAAATATATATACAATATGTATATTGGTGGCTAGCTAAAAAAGACAGTCTGGATAAAATTAATCTTTTGAAACATACTCTCTTTCTCACTTAGAATTTGAAAATCATTGATTATATATTTCTTGTTAGCGGGAGTTTTTATAACGGGAGTTTTTATTTTCGATATACCGACGCCTTAAATATAAAATAATTATACTTAATTAAAAATATAAATGCCTTAAATGTACTACTATAACTTTACTGTGGACATTTAAATAAATAGTTATTATTTTAATATTTTTTGAAACTAAAAGTTAGAAATTATTAAGTTTTTTTAATTTTAAAGCTTTTATATTAAAAAAAATTAAATATTATGAAAGTATTCATAAAAAAGAGAAAATGGAAAGAGGTAAACACTCACCTCCAGATGAAAGGCGATTAATTTGGAGTATGTTTGAAAAAGGTACTAGTAACAGCCAAATTCCAACCCTGGTAGAAAGATATCGTTGTCTTCTATAACTCGCTATTCGCGATATGCAAAAAACAGAACAGTTTGTTGGAAAAATTAGAAAGATTAGATAAAAAAAGCGGTCAATGAAGATTGAGCTATGGTACGTTTATGTAAAAAAGATTCTTTTCTTACTTAGATTTAGATTACAAAGATTTAGCAACAAATAAAAAATGATTTGAATTTAGAAGTGTTTGGGGAAATATTAAAAGACGTTTATTAGACGCCGGACTCAGAGGATGCATTTCCAAATTGAAACTGCAAAAATGCATGAAGAAAAAGCACTTTTATAATGAAAAACTATATTATGGACTGATGAAAGTAATTTTAATACAGTCTGTAGCGACATTAAATGCTACATTCGTCGTCGGAAAAATGAGTATTGTACTCACTTTTCACTTTAAAGACTGTTAAGCACGGTGGAGGATCTGTAGTGGTTTTGGCAGGAATGTTTTGGTACGGGGTATACCCGCTAGTAAAAATAACGGGAATAATTGACCAGTTTACATACAGGGACATCCTTAGAGATGTAATGGAAGTTTATGCGGATGATAATTTGTCGTTAACATGGAAGTTAATGCACGACAATGATCCGAAGCATACTTCCCGTTTCGATTTCTCCAATAAGAGTTCTCAATTGACTTGCCCAAAATATGGATCTAAGTCCAATCGAAAATTTGTGGGACGACGTAAAAAATGTCATGAGAGAGAAAAGGATTGATAACTTGGATGAATTGTGTCTCCAAATACAAGAAGCATGGTGCCGATTGCAAGGAGCCGATGTCAAAGTCTTATAAAAAGCTTAACGCGAAGATGTGAAGCTGGAAAAAAAATAAGGGCTATCTAATTAATTACTAAGTTATTATAAAAAAAATGTATTTTTCTACTTTTTTGCTTTTAATTTTATGAATTTCAATATTTTTGTTAATTTTTTTAAACATGTTTTATTTATATGCCCATGAGTTATAAGAACTTTTTGTTGTTTTCCTTAATTTGATATAATAAAACTTTTGTGATATATTTAAATTTTTAATTTTTTTAAAACAAAACAATTGAAAAAGAACTAATAAAATTGAATGTATTGGAATTAAAGAAACTAAATCTAAATTTTGCTGTTTTAATTTTTAAAAATTGCGTCATCTCGTTTAGTTGGCCACTAGTGTATGTTGTATAGAGAAAATTCCTTAATAATTAAGGCCCTTGCTTTGATTGGCGTAGCAAATAAAATTGTTAGATCTATCGAATAAAAATTCTGTGTGACAAGCTTGGCGAATGAAACAAAAATCAATATTAACATACATATATACGAGTAATACATAAGTATCAATCAACATAATACATAATGTTTTTTTTAATTAATATTATAGTGATATAATGGAAAAATCTAAACTTATCTGTAAAGTAAATTCCGTATTGCACAGTGTTCCAGGCCGAAATACATGCAATAGAGATCTGTCTGAGAATCAATTTGGAAAGGGGGTATCAATTTTATTTTAAACAATCATCACAGGGGTATAAATTTGGTCTGGAGCTGCCTTGCTGCACTTATGGAATTGGCATCGGAGAACAGAGTGATGCTCATTTGGGTGCCGGGCCATAGTGGTCATGCGGGCAACGAAGTTGCCGATGAGTTGGTGCGGAGGGGATCTGGGACTGCCTTTGTGCAGCCGCTGCCTTTCTGCGGTCTGCCTTCTTCCGCCGTGGGGGCCAGTCATGCGAAGGTGTTTCTTCCGGCGTGCTCCGGCGGATTCGCCGCAGAGTTGCTGGAGATGAGCAGGAGCCGGGTTCGCAGTATTGCGAATTTCTTCACGGGGCACTGCCCGGTGAAGTACCGCCTGCATAGGCTGGGAAAGTCGGGCTCCCCCCTGTGCAGATTTTGTGGGGGTGACGATGAGACCGCCGTGCACATTTTCTGCGACTGTCCGGCACTGGCTGTTCGGCGCCGCAATTGTCTTGGACATGGGTCCCTAAGTGTTCGGGAACTGTTGTCCAACTCCCTTAGGGATATATTCGGCTTTGTGATTGGGACGGGGATATTATAGACGGGAGAGTGGGGTGGCTACAATAAGTCAAAAATGGCTGCGGTGGCTTGGGGGGGATGCTCCTGTCCCACTCGGTTCCCTTAGAATCTACAATCTACAAAGTAAATTCATAAAATTCTACAAATTATTGTACAAAATATTGATTTTTTAATATTAATTTAAGCGTTAAAAAAATGAACCAAAAAAAAACTCCGGCATTTAATTCAATTAATGGAGAACAACCCCGATATTGCTAAAGGGATAGGAAAATTAAATTGCAAAATAACAAAAAAAATTATACGTATGTGTAGTGTTATCATTTCGGATCTGGCGAAGAAAAACATTCGCCGATCATAATTTAAAATGTCATTGGATTCGCCTAGTCTATTTGACTCGCCTAGCCATTCGCTACGCCGATCATAATAAGGGTAATTAAAATAACTTTTATATGTTGTCAGTATTAGAGAAACTTACCTTATTTGGTTCTGTATAAAAATTTTAAATTTGCACGTTTATTTAATATCAAAATTATTAATTTTGAAATTTAAGTTGGACTTTTTTTTATCTTAACCGAAATTTTCTACCACTATTTTGCACTTTCAGTCTTTTTTTTTAAACACAAATATTTAAATAAACAATTATTCAATAAGTATTCGATAATATGTTGTATTTGTTGTTTTGTTTAATGTACTCCGTGTTGGGCGAAACGTGGTTATATATTGAGAAACACTTTAATTTTTCTTTTTTCCAAAAATTTTTTTATATAAAGTTGGATTATGAAAATGTAAACTAAGTACCCTAAAATTTATAAGATTATTTATAGATTGTGTTTACAGGCAC